CCAAGCCAGGTTGAGGGCTGCCAGTACAGTTGTGGTGGTGGTGGGAGCCTCTCCCACCTCCTCAACAGTGCTAAGGATGTCTGACTACAGCTTAGACCTGCTCCCCAGTGGCAAGTGGACATCCCCCGAGGGCTCCTGGGCTGCCAGAGGGATGTCTGACTGCCAGCTTAGGCCCAATCCCCCAGGGAGTGGGCCTAAACCAGCAGGTGGACATCCCCTGAGGGGTCCCAGACTGCAAGAGGACACAGGCCAGGCTGAGGGACCCCCCCCCCAAGTGCACAAATTTTTGTGCACCAGGCCTCTAATATATATGGAGGTGAGAAGTCCCCAATCTGCCATGTGCAAGCTGGAAACTCAGGAAAGCCCAGGTGTAATTCAGGCTGAGTGCAAAGGCCCAAGACTCAGAACCTCCGATGTCTGAGGCAGAACACGGACATCTCAGTGCAAGAAGAGTGAGTCACTTTCCTTTACCTTTTATTCTATCCAAGTGCATGGAATGGATGAGGCCACTGGGAAGGCAAGTTTGCTTTACTTAGTCACTGATTCAAATGCAAAACTCTTCCAGAAACATCCTCTCAGACACACCCAGAAAATGTGTTATCAGCTCGGTGGGCATCCCTCAGCCCAGGCAAGCTGGCATAAAACTTACCATCACAACTATCATAGCCCATCAGGATGCCCAGCTTAGCAGACCCCAGGGGATCACTGGGCTGCCCGCTGCCAGAGATGCTCTGGTGAGAGCCTTGCTCCTTTACTGAAATGAGAAGCCTTGCCCTCTGCCACTAGCAGCAACTCATCTGGGTCACACTTTGGCCCAGATGCCAATGGTGGTCAAGGGCTTCATTCTTTTCCTGGCTGGACCAGAGTTCTTGAGCGCCCACCAGCCCTTGTGAACAAAGCAGCCAGCACAGCCTGCATAGTGGCCCCTGTGGTGTCCTGGGTGACACCCTCCTCGCCATCCCAGTCTCTCCCAGCTGAACAGGAGCCAGGCTCCTCTACCAAGAGCAGTAAGGGCAGCAGTTCTCCCACAGGAAAGTGAAAGGGTCTCCATACTGATTGTACAACTGCGCGAACTGAGTGCAAGACAGTGAGACAGTGGCAGTGAGGGACGCAGAGGAGAGCAACTGTAGAGAACAGCTCCATGCGAAAGGCAGGCAGCCCTGAGCCCTGGGATTCTGCAGCATCCTCATTCATGACGAAGGCAAGAGTGTGTGGAACAGTAAGCAGCGCTCACTCTGCTCAGCCATGCTGAGTGCTTCACCCACATCATCTTACTATTTTCACATTGGCCTTAGGAGACAGAAACCACTACCACGCTCATTGTACAGGGGGAAACCAAGGCAGAGAGCCCTAAGCAACTAGCCTCAGGAGCAGCTGGGATTCAAACCTGGGGAGTTGGGCTCCCCAGACCACATTCCTGACCCAGAGAGGCCTGTC